GAGGTGCCCACACCTCCAACCGCTCAATCAGACAATCTGGAAAGAAACTGACAACACGAACGCCACTGACATCGATTAGCCGCCATTTCTTTCAACGTCTCCAGCCAAGCACAGACAAGGTCACGAGGACCCCAGCCTGGAGGTCGAACAACACCCAAACTCTTCGTGATCCATTTGACGCCTTTCTGCCAAGACATGTGCTGTCCACCTCGCGGTTTGTGCCATCCTGAAGGAGGCACGGAGAACAACACTCGTCTCGTAGACGGTGTTTCGACATGCGTAGCACATGACCGAGCCATCGCAGTCGATGATGCTGGATGTTTTCCCGGATTGAGGTGCCTGCAGAACAACCAAATACCCGTTTTCTAATCGCCTCGTTACTGACACGCTGAGGCCATCCACAACCAGCCACGCTTCTGAGGTAGCGGTGGTCGAAAACCTGAAGACGCCTCACATCATCTGTCCGCAGAGGCCATGTTTTGCACTCATACAAAAATACAGCCCTTACTGTAGCCTGGTACATGCCACCTTGAGGATCTAGTTGGGTGCGTTTTTGGCGCCACAAATGACGCAACATAGCAGATGTGATTTGAGCCTTTGAGATTCTTGCACTGACTTCATCAGACACACTTCCGTCAGCGCTAATACAACTACCGAGGTACGTAAAGTTTTCCAAAATCTCCATTGATTCTCCTTGAATTGTAAGGGATATGTTCGCAGACGGCACGTTCTGAAGCAGGACTTTGCACCTTGAAGGTGCATGGCGCAGATCGACAAGGCTCTCGCCAGCAATAATTTGAACACCGGGGTTTTGAAAATCGTCCAGTGTTTGCTTCATTATTTCATCGATGACGAAGTTGAACAAGAAACGGGAGAGTGGACATCCTTGTCTGACACCACATTTTGTAGGAAAGCTTTTGGAGAGCTCACCATACACCCTCACCCGCCCGGAAGTATGTGAATATGTGGACTGGATTATGTTCACAAACTTCGGGGGCATATCCCATTGAGCAAGTGTAGTTAAAAACACTGATCGATCGAGAGAATCGAACGCACCCTTGAAGTTAAGGGATACCAGAATTGTGTGTCGTCTCTATATGTGGCGTTGCTCTAACGTCTGACGGAATGTGAAGATGTGGTAAACGCAGCCTCTACGAGTCAAAATCCCGCTTGATTCTCACAAGTCAAAACTTCGCGTTGCGCCATGAGACGACGAAGAATCAATGATGCCAGAAGCCTTGTCACAACAGGTGTCAAGCTAACACCTATGTGGTTGCTACATTCACTGCGAGTACCCTTTTTGAAAATGGGTACCAATGTCGATTCATCCCAGTTGTCTGGGAGGGTTTCCTATTCCCAGATACACCCAAATAGGCTAGACAGGCACTGGTGGAGGATTCCACTGCCATCCTCGAAAAGGGCAGGTGGAAGGTCGTCAGGACCAGTAGCACGATGGCGCTTGGGTAGCGAAGTGCATTCGGACACTTCTGAGACTGAAGGCGGCTCCATATTTACGGTCCGTCTTTCTGCTGAAGGCCGGGTTTCTGGATTGTGGGTAGCAGGTGACCGGCTGAATTGCTGTTCGAGGTACTGTGCCCAGCGATCCAAACGTTCTGCTTTGCTGCATATCAGGGAGCCATTTTGGTCCCTGATGGTTTCACTGACAAGAGGCTTTCGAGGACCAGTCGAACGAATCAACAGGAACAATTTGCGCACGTCTCCATTTCTTCGACCTTCCGGGTCCACCAAGCTTCTCGGTCTGCGCAGACACTCATTTTTCACCTGGCGTCGAATGATGCGCCGGGTTGAGTTGTGGTGGCGACCAGGGGGATCTGTCGCCGGGTCTCCAGAAAAGGCACGGTTCTCTCAGAGATCCAATGCTTGGGTGAGGTTGGCTGATTTGTACCGTAAGCAGACGCTCCTGCTTTGAATAACGCTTTGGATATTTTTCCCAGTGGCCGTTTATATCCGACATCGTACCGTCCGACAGGCATTCGAGGAGCTGGTTCTGATAGTTTCGTTTGACTTCTGGGTCAACTAGCTTCTCAATGGCTAAGCGAGGTGTGCGCGATTTGCGTGCACCTGAAAAGCGCAATGAAAAGCTGCAGCGTACAAGTGCATGGTTGGAGTCCACGCTGGTGTTCCAGAAGAAGCGGCAGGCGGCGATGGACCCTCGCCACTGATAACTGACGGCGATGTGGCCTATTTGGATTCAGCGCCGGTTTGATGGTGGGTACCACGTTGTCAATCGATTTCCGCCGTTCCGGAATTTCGTACTGCATTCATATCACCAGCAACCACAGCGATATCTGAGCTTTTATCCTGTTGTAGAAGGGCACCTAGAGCGCCATAGAAACTGTCCCTGGCAGATTCAGAGCTACAGTCTGTTGGGGCGTAAGCAGAAACGTGACAGCTGTGTGTGACTGTTCTGCTGTGATTCGTTCTTTTCCTTCTTGCTCTGTGATATGGGTTTTGTTCACTTGTTTGGTTGATTTATCGGCCTTCTGTTTTATGTGACTGTCTTCCTTCGACCCAGTTAGTCCGTTGGTTGCCGTTAGGTTTCTTGGCTCCGAGTCCGTGATCGTGTGGTTCTTTTGCTCGTAACGCTGATAGACTGGGTCAGTGTCGATGTGTTTACTGGTCGATTTTTGTGTGGAGTACCCCGCCTCAGCAAAATCTCGCTCCTGTTTCGTTCTTGTGTGAGCAAGTATTTGAACATTGTCCCAATTGAACTTGTGTCCCTCTCTGTCTTCGTGAGTTGAGACGAGTGATATTGATTCATGTCCTCTGCTGGCAAGCTTGTGTTCGTGTATTCTCGTAGCAAGTTTTCTTCCCGTTTGGCCAGCATAATGTTTGTCGTGGTCGTCGCATATTTTGTAGACCACATTAGTATTCTTCAAAACATCCAACGTTCCCTATGGTTTCGAGAGAGATCTTCGTAACGTGTTTGTAGGCTTGAAGGCGACTGCAATTCCGTGTTGCCGAAGATGTCGTGCAGTCATCTCCGCCATGTTCCTGAAATACGACAGCGTAATCCTCCTCTGTTTTGGTTGTTTTGGTGGTCTCGTAAGCACCTCCATATGAAATTCCTCGGGTAGCCGTTATTCAGGAATGTCTCGAAAAGTCTCCGTTCTTCTTTTTTATTCGCCTGTGTTGTGTTGCAATGTGTATCCGTCCGCTTGAATAAAGTTCGGATACAGCTCCGCTTGTGACAGCTTACCTACATTCCACAACATTGCTAATCGTATTTTTTCCAAAATGATCGCATGGTCAAACAAACAACACGCTCTTACAAAAAAGCAGCCCGAATGCACATGAAAACATAATTTGCTTGGATGGAACGGGTGACGACTTTTATGAAATCTTGCCGCAAAACGGATGGGCATCTAAAACATTCCACGCCTCTACGGTGATGATAAAGCAGTTATCTGGTTTTCCACTAGACACAAAAGACTGGTCATTTCTCAACGACAATCATTAGACACGTCAAAATCAATTTAATTTGATTGTCTTTTAGTTAACATTAGCGGTGGGGATTGCTTGCTTTGGCACAATTTGACCAAATGCTTCACGGTATTCAAACAGTAGTACCAGTTATTATGTCTGTGTCAATACAGGACCATGTTACAACCTTTGGCACAATTTGACCAAATGCTTCACGGTATTCAAACAGTAGTACCAGTTATTATGTCTGTGTCAATACAGGACCAATCATGTTACAACTTTATTTGAATTCGAAACCATTGTATCGTCTGTTTTGGAAGAGTCTCAGGTACTGATACCAAGAGGTATGTGTTTTCTTTCAGCAGAACCATTATCTTCCATTAATATAATATTAAGAACTATCCAGCGAGAATGCCCTCCGGCCAATATGGAATTCGATTGAGACCAACAAGGTCATAAATAGTTGTGGCAGGGAACGTTAAAGGATAAGTCCTAAGTGATTGCAGAATTGTGAAGTGTGCTTGTGACACATAAGCAAAAAGGTAAGCTAGTTGAAAGCTTGAACACAGTCGGACAGGTTTCTCACAACAAAGTATCGCACGTCATTCGCCGTCGCACTATCCAATCAACTGTGCGTGATGATTTGACAGGTCGATATCATTGCGCTCAAAGTGAGTCATCGCTTTTTAAACGGTTCGGATTATCTGAGATGGTGTTTTCTCTACTTAAGGCTGGGTTAAACTATTCATAATAAACCGTGAGATCAAAGTTCTAACATTTGTCAGATGGGAACCTAGGGGCCAGTTTCATTTAACTCATGAAACATTTATATTAAGCTGTTATGCAGGTATCTTAATTCAAGCACCTTGCCAAACTCTAAGAGTTGATCCAAATAAGCACAACTTATTGGCATCATTTGGTAGGCGATGGATGCTGTTGCTAGGAGTTTAGAATTCCCAGTTAAAACAAAAGTCGACCGCCCATCCAATGTTAATTTTTCAGACATAGCTGCATGTTATATTTCCACTCCAGCTAGTGGGTTAAACTTCTAGCTCAGCGCTTTGTAGGTTGCAGACAGACCCGTAGGTAACCGACCAATGCGCAGCGAAAGGGTCTTGAATTTTATGTGCACAGTAATGAAGGTTTGTAGCTTGGACTAAGATAATGCCGCACAAACTTACTCCCACGTTCTGAAAATTGAGTTTTCAGTTAAACCAACCATTTATAACAAATGTTGGCAAAAGTTACAGAAAAATAAATGCGCTTTTATCATCTTGAAATCAAACAATCTGAAAAGTGTTTAGCATTTTTGAAACAAAACTCCTGC